GTCGGAATAGCAAAACGAAGTTTGTTGAAAATCTGTGGGTCATTTTTTAACCAAATAAATCTCTCTTTCAAAAACCACGACTTTCATATAGCGCGTTATTGCTGGGAACTCCTGGCCGATAACTTGTCAAGACCATCCAAATTCGATCTCTCGAACAGTCGTACAGTTAACAACAACGCGTACTTCACTCACTCAGCAATATACAGCGTACTGGAGAACGCGCGGTGCGCTCCCGCCGGCCACGCCTCTTGCGCCTCACGCGCCTCTCGTAGGTACTGTTTTCTGTGCGGAGTGCGACGATATAAGCGACTACTATTGCTTTGAAACGGGCTACAGCACGTAATTCATTCTCAAAATAATAAGTGTAATCTCTTAGGGTCAAGCCGCAGACCTAAAAATACTATAGTTTATACAAATGTTTATACAAGATTTTTCTAAGTACTTAAAATTTTGTAAATGTAATATGAATAAACTATCACACGTTTTTAAGTGATGAAAATCACTGTTTATACACTTACAAACACTATAATATTGCTTACCTACTTCACATAGCAAAGTGGAGTTAAACTAATAAGATGTGAAACCATGTAATGATATTTTATAAGGAATAGTTGGTACGGCTCTGACTACACGACACAATTTAAAAAGGTCACTGGTTGGTGGACAAGACCGGCGCGCTCACTGCGCCGACGCGGTGAACTGCGCGCGCAGCTGCTGCAGCGACGCGGTCGCACTCTGGCAAACAGTTTTCGATACATCAATGTGCATACCTACTCGGAAAATGTAATATGTATTCATTGCAATACTAGGTACCCTCAGATTATCTATGTTTTGTAATCTAAGTAGGAACCTTAGAATAATAACGCATAGAATGATAGTTTCATATCAAACGAACTGTCACAAGTGAGGCAAAAACCAAATTCATGTAGGCGTAAGCAACTTGTAACTACGCTCGTCGGCACGCACACAAATATACAAATAATGATGCCATGGAATAACATTTCCCTCAAAAGTGGGGAAATTGTATCTTGCTTAACTTATCGTTAAGTTAGAGGTGCCTACAAATTTGCTCGATTTTGTCGATCGTTACTGTTGATCGACAACGTCAAGTGACAGGAATTTTCAAAAATTTATTTTTGGTAATCCTTATGGAAATGGCATTTATATCTGAATACACGAAGGCGGACACGACTTTTCTCATTTCTAAATCCAAGATGGCGGACACGTCTTTTCGAATAAATGCAATATGGGAATCGTTTTCGAGGTATTCGAGGTGCTCATCACGAATATGGCATTTATTTCTAAATCCAAGATGGCGGACACGACTTTTGAAATAAATTCAATATGGGTATCATTTTCGAGGCATTTGGGGGTGCTCATTACGAATATGGCACTCATTTCTAAATCCAAGATGGCGGACACGATTTTTCATATATTGGCAAGTTGGGATCGTTTTCGAGGTATTTGGGGGTGCTCATTAGGAATATAGCACTTATTTCTAAATCCAAGATGGCGGACATGACTATTCAAATAATAGCAAGTTGGGTGTCGTTTTCGAGGTATTTGGGGGTGCTCATTAAGAACATGGCACTAATTTCTAAATCCAAGATGGCAGCCACGATTTTTCGAATAATGGCAAGTTGGGTGTCGTTTTCAAGGTATTAGGGGCTGCTCATTCCGAATATAGCACATATTTCTAAATCCAAGATGGCAAAGAATTAGAAGAAAAAGAATTACAAGTCTTGTCCCCCGTCTTGTATTCAGATATACATGCCATTTCCTTATGGTTTACCAAAAACACATTTTTGAAAATTGTTGTCAACCATCTTGGATTTAGAAATTAATGCTACATTCGTAATAAACACTCTAAAACTCCTCGAAAACGTATATAATTCTCAATCGTTACTGTCGATCGACAATGTCGAGCAAATTTGTAGGCACCTTATTAAATACTACCCAATTCTTATTTAACTCATATATGAACAAAAACCTACAAGCGAGTTTAAGTGCGACTATCGAATTTGAATATATAAATAGCCTGTTAATACTTCTATTAACATTATACATAAATTTAGTTTAGGTAAGATGCCGCTAGATGGCGTTGAACATTTTATGCAATTTTCTAAAACGCGCTATTGAGTTGTTCACGGAAACTGTATAACTATAGAGTGATTTACAAATAAAAACGTGTTATTGGAACATACAGGCTGTTTCATTTTGGGTATTTTTGGGACGCTATACATGGTCCTTCGTGTTGCCAGTTTAATACGGCGCGAAGTAGTACTTGTACATCGTCTTCCAGGCGCCAAAGGAGCAACGGATTGTTGCCAAAGGTGCGCTTTGGCCTACGGCAACGGGAGGCGGAAGAAGGCATCGTCACCGCTGTGACAACATAGACACTAGACAGGGCTACGGTACAAGGGGTGCACACCTGAGACATCTACCGGACGAGACGGAAGCAGCGCGGGGAGGAAGAGGAAGAAGAGAGAGTGAGTTAAAGTGTCAAGAAAACCGTGAGTACAATTTGAATCTTATCTATCAAGTGCATTAGTGAAGTGAAAAAAGTTAAAAGTTTTGCAAGTGCGGATGAACATAGAATAGTTTACCACAAATTACACCCAAACTCAGGAGAGAAATTAATGTAGGCCATTCAAATATTTCTCCCAGCACGGGAATCGAACCTAGGACCTCTGCGTGGCAGTCCGGCATGGTAACCGTTCGGCCACACAGGCAGTTTAATTTACGTGTGGCGCACTATAAGTTTCCGGAACGAATAAGAAAAAAATACTAAACTGGATAGAAATGAATTTATTGTTTCTCAAAATATTCTCCGTTAACGTTAATGCACTTTTTCATACGAATGAACCAATTTTGAAAATATTTATTCCACTCCTCCGTGACAATCTCTAAAACATATTTTTCATACTGTTCGACAGCCTCTTCCGGTGATGAAAATCGTTGACCGCGTAACTGGTTCTTAATTTGTGGGAATAAATAAAAGGCACATGGCGCCAGGTCGGGATTGTACACGGGATGGCTGATAAGGTCAACGTTGTTCACCTTCAAAAATTCAATTGTCTGGCTAGCCGCGTGAGAACTGGCATTATCATGATGCAAGATGATACGACGTTTACGGTCATTTTTACGGAGTTTGTCAATAACTTCCGGCAATTAAATGGTCGTGCACCAATCACTATTCACGGTACAACCTATTCTCCAAAGCAACAGTAGCCACGTGTCCAGTTTTATTTAAAAAAGAAGCAGTCATCCGCTTAGAGGCACTTTGTATGCACGCCACTTTGGTTGGTTTCGGCTCATCTCGAAAGACCCATACGCTCGATTGCTGCTTTGTTTTGTTTTGGGATCATAACTATAAACCCATGATTCGTCACCTGTTACTATGACCTACACCAAATTTGACGCCCCTTCGTTGAATCTGGTAAGCATGGCATTGCACCAAGAGACGCGATCCGTTTTTTGAGCCTCAATCAAATTGTGTGGGATCCACCGAGAGCACAGCTTTTTCACACCCAAATGTTTGTGTAGTATTGATTGTATTTGACTCATGCCTATGTCTAAAGATGCCCGAATTTCATGGGATGTCCCATTCCGGTCTGTTTTGATCATACAGCGCATAGCATCGATATTTTTGTTGTTCACTGCAGTGGTCGGACGACCATCACGAAATTCGTCACTGAGATTCACACGACCGCGTTTGAATTCTACAATCAGATACAAAATAGTCGTCTTGCATGGTGCTTCATCGCCAAAAGCAGTTTGAAGCCGAGCGAAGCTCCGCTGAGCTGTTAAATTACACTTAAAGTCGTAGAAAATCATAGTACGAAAATTTTCACGAGTTAAATCCATGGTGATGTAGACAACTGTATGGTCTCACCATACATACTTAAGTACAAATCTGCGCACGCGGCAACCTACTTAGGCCGCGCGCAGCTCTTTGTTTTATATAACTAATTAACCTTTAATTTTAAATCAGTACGTCACCAACTGTCCACAGAGACACTGCTTAAGGAAAGATTTGCCACCTAACACTTGTAACTTATTACGAAAATATACTTTGAACTTTCAAGCAATCTTTCTCTTCGTGCTACTCTGCTACTACAACAAACTTACAACTACAGTGCATGTATGGACTACACCTGGCCCATACAACAACCAATTTCCAAAATAACGCCACAATGTAAAAACAAGTGACAGTCAGATGAAACAAACGGTACTCTACAACCAAGTTCCGTTTTCAAATGTTGTAATTACTTTTTAAATATTGTTTATGTAAGTGGCCAGTTCCGGAAGCCCATAGTGCGCCCCGTGTAGTTATGTCCGCGGGGCTCATGAGAGGGCGGTCAACCCTGCTCGTGCGAGCGAGCCGGTCCCTCGGCGGACTCCCTCCGGGCTCACCTGCGGACGCGTGCGAGCGGCGCGGCGCGCGCGGCGAGTGCGGCGAGTGGTGCGGGAACAGCGCGGCCAGCAGCGGGTCCGCCGCGCGGGACAGCGCCGCCGCCAGCCGGCGACACACGCCGTCGCGGTTCTTGGCCACCATGCCGCGCGCGCTGTACACCACGGCGCCGCCGAAGTGCACCACCCTGCGCAGCACCACGCAGTCGGGGTCAGCCGGGGGTCAGCCGGGGGCAGCCGCCGGCCGCGACACTCACTGGAAGTGGTGCGGCGGCAGCACCAGCAGGCGCGGGTGCTGGCGGCGTTGCAGGCGTTGCAGCAGCGCGGCGTCGCCCAGCCCGCGCGCGCTGCAATCGCGCAGCACGCCCAGCACGCTGTCGGCGCCCTGCAACAGGCGCGCGCTGCAGCGGCGGCGGGCGGAGGGCGGCGGGCGGCGGGAGGCCCGCGGGGCGGGCGCTCACCGCGTCCAGCAGGTCGGCGGCCAGGTCGTGGTCGGGCACGCGCAGCGGCGCCCAGGCCAGCCCCTCGCGCGCGTACTCGTCCTGCTGGCGGCGCAGCGTGGCGCGCGTGACGCAGGCCTGCAGGCGCTCGGCCGCGTAGTTCACCAGCAGGCGCTCCAGCGCGTTGTGCGCCAGCGCCTCCAGCCCGTACACGTCCAGGATGCTGAGCGGCAGCGTGCGCGCGTCGCGGCCCGCGCGCAGCCGCGCGTTCACGCCCGTCACCAGCCACGTGAACAGGCGCCCGTACAGCGCCGCCAGCAGCCGGTCGCGGCGCGCGCGGCACCACTCGGCCGCGGCCTCGGCGTCGGCGTCGCCCTCCGCGCCCCAGTCCGACTCCGACTCGCGCTCCGACCCGCTGTCGCCGGGCGCGGGCGCGGGCCCGTCCGGCGCGGCGCCCAGCGCGGCCGCCAGTTCGTCCGCCGCCACGCCCACCAGCGCGCACGCCTCCTCCAGCTCTGCGACAGAGGCCGCCTCGCGTCAGCACCCGCGCCCCCGCCTCGCCCCCCGCCGCGCCCGCGCCGGCCCCGTCTCACCGTGCCGGTGCAGCAGCCTCGCGCCCAGCTCGCCGTCGATGAGGTGCGCGGGCTCGAACTCCACGTTGCCCAGCTTGAGCAGGAAGGCCAACAGTCGCAGCAGGCTGGAGCGTTCGCCCCCGCCGAAGCCCAGCGCGCACATCGCCGCCTGCCACACGAGCGAGGTTACGTCGCCGGAACTGCGAGGGCGCGGTCACCGCGGGCCCCGCCGGCGCACCTTGGTGAACGCGAAGTGGTCCTTGTCGGCGGAGACGGCGCGCGGGTCGGGCTGCAGCGGCGGCGCCGGCGAGCCGCGGCGCGGGGACGCCCCGCCCGACTCGCGCGCGCCGCGCAGCACGCGGTACTGCTCCCACGCGCGCTGCAGCCGCAGCCGCTCTGCAACGGCCCCGCGTCAGCGCCCGCCCCTCCCCGCTCCCCGCCCCCGCCCCCGCCGCGCCCGCACTCACTGAGCAGCGCCACGTCGGCGCCGGCCAGCAGCTGGTACAGCACGTGGAAGTTGCGCTCGCCGCCCGCCACCCCCGCGCCGCTCGCGCGCTCCTGCAACACGCGGCGCGTCACAGCGCGAACTCCCCGCCCTCGCACCCGCCCCCGCCCCCGCGCCCGCCGCACTCACCTTCTCCAGGAGGACTGCGTGCGCAAACCACAAGTTTAGTAAAACGCTCGCCAGTACGAATGGTGCGATCCGCAGGGTCTCTATCGACTACGCGATCGCGATCGGGCCGGGCCCCGTCGCTTCCTACTGCTTAAAGTGACGCCTACTACGTAAAGTATCGTAAGTCGAAATTGCCAAATTTACAGGGGAGCGTTTCAAAGTCTTGAATTCACTGAAATGAGCATAACACGTGACTTTGATAACAATAATTCTTTATTGACAGGACATATACCCATATTAGATACAAATTACAATTATATATAAAAACAAAAGCAATAAAATAACTGTCATACATACAATGCGCTTATAAGATAAGCCTGTAATTTCTTATTTCCATCACGATGCGCACGGAAATCCAGTGCTTAAAAAAGGAATTGTGCACGTGCTGACAGACAGCACGGAGAATCCTGTTGTCACACGCACGGAGACGGCTCCAGAAGCAGGCGACGCGAAACCTTATTATTGCGAAAAAATCTGGAACTCCGGCCTCGGCCAACATACTCCATGCGCTGCAGTATCTCGGCTGGTTCATTAGAATGCAATACGCATAATTATACTGCACTCGAATGGTGCTCATCGCGTGTTTCGAAAACCTACTCCAGAGTTGACATGTATAGAATCAGAAACAACGTCACTCTGACATCACTACTACACCGCACGAATCTGCGCGCGAGCATGTTGCACCGAACGGCTAGAGCCCTGCGCTCTCGTTCTATGTCGTCATCATCAACTAGACTCTCCGTTAGCACGTGCCCAAGGTACTTGAATTTATTCCCCCTCGCCACTTGCGCACCAACTAAAAACACGGGCGGAACGTTCGCCGAACCCCTTCCGGCCTTAAAGACCACCAGTTGCGTCTTCGGGACATTATATTTTAAACCGTAGTTCTGACTACTCTACTATATACTACTCACACAGTGCCAGTAGCTATCACAGACCATTGATCGAAGGGCTGAGGAGCACCGTATCATCGGCATAGCTTAAGTTATTTAGACACGTCGTGCCAATATGGCAGCGTACTCGAGTGCTCAGCTCCACGGTCAGGTCATTTACATAAAGGCCGAAGAGATCTGGCGAGGTTAGCCCGCCTTGGCGTACGCCACATTCTAACCTGAATACGTTAGAAGTTGTTTCGCCCCATTTTACACAATTAGTTTGGTTTTCAATTCCATACCAGAATCTCAACAGATCAATGACTTTCCCAGATACGTTAGAAGCATAGAGTTTCTCCTATAGTAACCTCAGGTTCACTAGGTCGAAAGCTCGACTAAGGTCTAAGAAACAGTAAACGACATGAATTCTTGCATAGACCCGGCGACTTTTAGTGCTAAAATTTGGCACTTGGGCGTGTATATGGCCCCATTATACGAAATTGTGTCCGTGGTTTTTTTATTCCGCCATTTTCCAGTATGGCCGCCATATATTTTCCACCGTCCAACATCATTGTTTTCCAAGAACGAATCGAGGTAATCAGTAATTTTATTATATTCCACAATGTAAAAATACAAAGATGAAAACTTATAACTATGAGAACCAATTGTGGACCCTGTTGGGCGCAGCAATTTTAGCAGCGAGGAGGACGCTATGCTGATATATTTCCTTTTCAAATAGTAAAATTTGTAAATTTTTTTTAAATTGTAAAATTAAATTTTAAAAACTATTTAAGCTGTAAGAATTGAATAAATTAAATGCACTGAATAACAAAATTCTATAAAATAATAATAGTAATCACAGTCAACATAACTGAAATCTAATTAAAATATCAAATAATATAAAAAAAAACATAGTAATAATAATAAAATAAAATAATATAAATATAATTTAATTAACTATTTCATTACATATTTATCACTTAAGTATGCATCTATAGTGTAGTAGCATTAAGACAAAAGAATTTGTTTCAGCTCTGATATAAATTTATTATCACTCCTTACGTTTTGAACTTCGCATGGTAAATTTTAACGGACATGACAAATGGGCCATCTGCGTACATTTTGCGACGGGAACGGGGGAGTATTAACTTGTTCGGGTACCTTGATGTGTGGTGAGTAGGAAGGTCTGAGCGTTTAGTGTAGAAATCTGAGTATTTATGTATGTACAAATTTACATGTTTCTAAAATATAAATGCATGGTAAAATATATTGTGTTTCTGGAAGTGAGGCTTGCATGTGTCGATTTGTTTTATATTACAAATTATTCTTTTTTTTGTAATGTGAAAAGCGATGGTGCATCGGTGCTATTACCCTATAGAGTAACACCATAACTGAGCCATGCATGAGTATATGCGTAATAAGTCGTTATTTTTATTTCATGAA